TCTCTTCTCTTCTCTTCTCTTCTCTTCTCTTCTCTTCTCTTCTCTTCTCTTCTCTTCTCTTCTCTTCTCTTCTCTTCTCTTTTCTTTCTTGCCTGCCTGCCTGCCTGCCTGCCTGCCTGCCTGCCTGCCTGCCTGCCTGCCTGCCTGCCTGCCTTTAGTTTAACTCATCAGATGTGTATGGAATGCCAACTATATTGTTAATAAGTTAGATACATAGTCCTGTTCCTGTGGAGTAGCTTATGGTCCATTTAAGGTAGTGAGATCCTTAAGAGTTAATTGTAAGTGTTTTTCCATAGTAAGTAGAGGAAGCATTGGGTGGAGCAGCTGAACCTCAGGGAGAGTGCTGCTTCGGATACTTGGAGGACAAATTAAAGTTAAACTAGTCATGCGTTAGAGGATGATCATCTCTTGCATGCACATGCCGGGAAGAATGAAGAGCTATTTAATTACTTTACCCTTTTAAATAAATAGCTAATTTCTCTGAATATAAAAGTAATTAATATGGTTACAGAATTTTTGAACATATAGGAAACTGTATAACAGTAGAGATTGTATGTAATTCAACTCTCAGATAAGTTTTCAGTACAAAATTTTATTCATGAACCAGACGTGGTGTACAACCTTAGTCCCAGCTACTTGTGAGGGTGAGGCCGGAAGATCATTTGAACCCAGGAGTTGGAATCCAGACTAGGCAACATAGTGAGAATGAATCTTAAAAAAAGAAAAAGAAAATACCATAAAATATTCTAAATATACTTAATTTTAGTATTTCCTTGCATAATTTTTTCTGCTTATGTACATATACACATATTTAGCAGTTTTTCTTAAGATCTTTGAATATTAATCCCATGTGGCTTTAAACTCAGGCCTATATTTTTATGTCAACACTATTTTATTCCAAACACTCTATATTAACATAACATCATATCCTTTTCTGTGTTCTCCAGGAAGTTTATTACACTTTACAATAATGTCTGTATGTAATTAATGACATCTGTCCAAAGTTTTCTTTCATACAAACCCAAGTCCCGCCTATCAGTGGAATGGCATTCTACCTTGAGAACTCTTTCCAGGTTTCTTCTTCACAGTAACTTTCATTCTGATGGAACTCTTTAATTATTCCATTCCTCTTTACTGTCCTTGCAGATTTTTCTGATGGATTGTCTCCTAAATCTTAACTCATCTCTTCAAACTTCAGCCACAGTTCTACCCTGTTAGCCACTGTCCCATATTATCATCAGTGTCTTTATAGTTTCTTTTATTAATGAAGTTGTGTTTGCATTCATATATTTTATCCAAGCTTATATTTTCTTTTGTTTTGTCTTGCTACGGACTTCAGGCTGGCCTTGAACTTGCTGTGATCTTCCTGCCTCAGCCTCCTGGGTGCTGGGATTACAGCTGTGTGCCACCATGCCTGGCCCAAGCTTATATTTTGATTGGTTCTCTGGGATCTTAAGGATAGTTCTCCAGAGATAAAAATCTTAGTTTTTCATTTATTTTATTTATGTCATTTGGGAGAGCTCACTGCCCTTATTCTTCAAGATGGATCTGTGGGTGGTTCCTAAAGGATCCTAAGTATCCGATGTGTACTGAGCATTTACAACTACATGACATTCCTCAAAGTAGTAAACTAAGGAGGGAAAATCAATTTTAGGCAAATTCATAAATAGAATGAAATCCTGCACGAAATCAAGTGTAGGATTTAAGTCTTAAAAGATTTAGGATTTTGTAGTTTATAATCTCATGTTTCTAATGCAAACTAAAATGAGCTCTTAAGCTTAATGAAATAGAGGACTATTATAAGTCCAGCAACTATAATTCAGTTTTGAACTTCTTTTATTTGTTAAAATAGTCATATCTGTGCGAGTGAAATGATTTTCACCATAATGCAGTTCATTGGTTGTGGCTCTTTTCATCTTGTGGTACCCAGGACCCTGGCTGGAAGGTTTTCCCAGTGCTGGTGGGTGTCGCTGAGGGTTCTTCTTTTCCAAAGTATGGTGCAGAGGCGTGCCCTTTAATTTGAATCTGAACAGGTGGAGGCAAGAGTTCCTCACTGGTCTCTTTACTAAGGAGCTTTTCTTTTTCATAAAAACCTTTGCTTTTCATCTTTATTTCTTCTCTGTACTTTTCATTCTTTAGTATTTCCTCCATGGTAGGTGGAGTATTTCTTTTTCTTCTAATCCAAGCTTCCCATTCTGTTGGGATATCACCTACTTCATAGTCAGTTTCATTTCTCTTTGCTGCTTCTATAATCCTTTTCTCTCGAATAGTTTGTCCTCTCCAGTTCGTGTACTGCGGGATATAGTAGTATTTATTCCCGAGCTGGTCCGTGCCCACGTGCTCCTTCACCTCCTTTGACAGCGTCCTCCACAGGGCGCGGAACAAACCCTGAGGCCAGCCCATGCTGGCGCTCTGTTCCCGGCGGGAGTCGCGCAGAGCCTGGCAGTTCAGGCCTATATTTTTAATGTGTGTTGTTTGAATTCATTTTCCATTAGTATTATACTCTCAGCTTCTCAAGGATAGGTGTCATGGCTCATCTGTCTTTTGTATCAGTGCCCAAGGCTCCTTAGTTTTTAATAGATGTTTAAGGGCCCCCTCGATACGCTGGTCATTGTGGTATGTTTTGGGCTATAGCAGTAAATAGGGCAGAGAGAAAAACAAACAATTGGCTAAGTGTAGTACAGAGAAATATCATCATGTTACATAGATGGAATTAATTGATTGCTTTTGGGTGTCAGAAATGCCTTATAGGCTTAAATTGATACCTGCATAAAGCCATCTTGCTAGGGGGAGAACATTTCAAATTAGGTGAAACCGTTAATGTCAGGACCCTAATAAAGGAACTGCTGTATTTTAGCATCCTCCAAAACCTTGTGTCTGGAGTAATATAGGCAAGGGAAGGAAATGGTGAAAGATGAAGTTGGAGATGCAGATTGGATGGAGCCAGGTCACATAAAACTTTCCAAGCCCAGGATGAAGAGCTTGGATTTTAAATGACTGAAACCGCTAGAGAGTTTAAAGCAAAGAACAAGATTCGTGGGTTTTTGTTGTTTTCTTTGTTTTTTGAGACAGGGTCGGGTCCTGCTGTATATAGTTTAGGCTGGCCTTGAATGTACTAGCTCAGGCTGGCCTGGAACTTGTGGTAATCCTCCTGCTCCAGCCTTCCAAGTGCTAGGATTACAGGGGTGCACCACCATGCCTGGAAAGATTTGTGTTTTTCAAAGATTGCTTTGGCTGATTTGTGAAGAATTGAGACAGAATATGTAAGTAGAAAGGGTCTAAGAATTAGGGATTGAGTTTGCTGGAAATAACAAAAGAAACAAAATAGTAGTACTTTAAACAAATAGGAAACGTCTGGAGGGAGGTAGGTATTCCAGATTGGTTGGGGCTTTAGTGTTTTTTTTGGGGGGGGCCTTTGGTGTTAATAAACTACTTATAACATTCAGTTTATCATTCTTGTGAGTATGACGTCTGTCTTTAAATTCTCAAGATGGCTGCCAGAGCCCTGGCATTTTTTTTCCTTGGAGACCATGTAGTGTAGGCTGGTCTTGAACTCACTTATGTAGCCTAGGCTGGCCTCAACTTAAGGTGATTCTTCTACCTCAGCCTTCCAAGTGCTGGGATTACAGGTGTGTGCTACTATGCCCAGAAGGCATTTCTCAATTCAAAAAGTAAGGCTGTATTTATGTATGAAACATGGTCTTGTTATGTTATAGTTCAGACTGACCTTGAACTCAGGCAGTTTTTCTGCTTCAACCTCCAGAGTACTGGGATTATAGGCATGCACCACCACACCTGGCCTGTTTGTTTTTTGTAGTGAGCATTTCCATACTGAGCTTTTTTCATACTGTCAATGTCCTCTGTTTTTGTATTTTAATCCATGGCTGTATCATCTGTACTATGGAAGACTAAGAAATGTACTGTAGTTGAGCACAATGTCCCCAGTTAAAATCAAGGTTTCACTATCATTAGTAAGGAAGCAAGAGAAAAAAAAATATATTAGGCAGCTTGCTGTGGAAGGACTGGAGGGGCAAAAAATGAACTCAGATCATTTAGAAAACAGGTAACTAGATTGTAGGTAACTGCTACTACTTTGTTTCTTTTGTTATTTCCAGCAAACTCAATCCCTAATTCTTAGACCCTTTCTACTTACATATTCTGTCTCAATTCTTCACAAATCAGCCAAAGCAATCTTTGAAAAACACAAATCTTTCCAGGCATGGTGGTGTACCCCTGTAATCCTAGCACTTGGGAGGCTGGAGCAAGAGGATTAACACAAGTTCCAGGCCAGCCTGAGCTAGTGAGTTCAAGGCCAGCCTGGACTATATAACAAGCAAGAGATTATAGTTTAGGGCTAGAGTTGAATAGGGAATTGATGAGAGGTATTTGGATATGTTTAAAAGTACTTGGGCCGGGTGTGGTGCTGTATGCCTGTAATTAGCACTTGGGAGACTGAGGCAGAATGATTGCCTTGAGTTTGAGGCCAGCCTGAACTACATAGTGAAACCCTGTCTCAAAAAACAAACAAAACAAAACAAAATGAAGTGTTTGGATGTGTTTGAAAGGTATAGTCAACACAACTTGCTGATGGATTATTAGGATGTATTGGCCAAACGGTTTGAAATTGGGAAAAGAGCAACTGAATGTGTATGAGGTGGTCAGATCCTGGAGAGAGACTTGACATTGTGGATGACATTGAGGTCGTACATTTACAGCCTGCAGTGCATGATTTAGGAGAAATTGGCTAGATAAGGAGTTCTAGGCTAGGGGCCGGGGATTTAGCTCAGCGGCACAGCGCCTGCCTGGCAAGTGCGAGGTTGTGAGTTCGATTGCTGGTACCTGGGGGCGGGGGTCGGGGGAGTTCGAGGCTAGAATCCTGAGTTTTGCTTTGGGGCCCTTGCACCTTTTTTTTTTTTAAGATAGTGTCTCTGCCATGTAGTCCAGGCTATCCTTTATCTCCCAGGCTGGCCTCAAACTCACGTGTTCCTTCTGCCTCAGCCTCCCAAGTGCTGGGATTACAGATGTGCACCAACATGCCTGGCACCCTTGTACATTTTAAAGTTGAACCAGCAGGGAATAAAGAGAGTGAGCTGTTCTAGTAGTTGTTAGAAAAACTAGAAGCAGGTAATGGTATTGAAGCTAAGGGAAGATAGCTACAGGAAGAAAGTGGTTGACTTTGTCTTTCTGCTGAAAAACAAAAATGACCATAGTATTTGCAACATGGTGATCTTGGGTAACCTTAACAATGAGAATGGTAAAACCAGAAATCTGATGGGAGTGGGTTAGAGAATATGAGGGGAGGAATTATCAACTATGGTCAATTCTTTAAGTTTTGCTTTACCTGGGAAGCAGCAAAGAGAGAGAGTTAGAGAAGACTGTGACTTAAAGGATCTCTTTAAAAATTGTTAGATATTTGAATGTTTGTTGATGGGTGGGAGAAACGGATTATGCTGAAGAGTAATTATAGAGTCTTTTATATTTAACTAGATTGCTGGGGAAGGTACAAATGGGAAGGAGCACAGACACTTAGGGCATTGTGTAAAATTTCCGTTTGGGATTTGTGATCTTCCCTTAAGCATGAGACCAATTAATGATGTTTTTCTCTGGCAGTAGTGGTTGGGGCAGACAAGAACAGGAAAGGAAGGTTTTCTGTTTTTTTAAATTGGAAGGTGAGTTTAACTACCTTTGGGGCTTTATATGAGCCCCATGAAGGAAGGAAGAAAAGCATCAAAGTTGTCAAGATTATTTTGTAAGGGAATGATTATGGCAAATATCTGTGGAATCTAAAATAGGTAAGGAGGGAAATGAAGATATCAGAAATAATAGATTGGTCATACTGTGATGAAACTAGATCACTGCTGGGTTTGAGTGCTCCACACCAGTTGGGAGTATGGGAAATGAGAAATTGATTTCAGAAAAGTTTAGGTTTTCATGGGGTTATCTTTTTTGTTTTTGGTACTATGAAAGGATAACAAAAGAAACAGAGACAAATTTAGTAATGCATAACAGGGGATTGGAAGGTCAGTGCCTCAGGATGGGCAGAGACCAGGGTTATCTTTTTGTTTTTGAGACAATCTTACTGTGTAGTTTAGACTGGCCTTGAACTCACTATGTAGCCCAGTCTGGCTTCAAATTCCCTGCCATCCTCCTGCCTTAGCCTCTCAAATGCTGGGATTATAGGCATGTCCCCCCATGCGTAGCACATAATATCTTTCTAGTTGAGAAAATTGTTAATTGCTTGATAACCCAATACAATATTCAAGTGCATATTCATTTAGTCTCAGTTAATTTTTAAAAAAGTCTTTCATACCTTTTAACCAGGTTCTATTTAAGAGTCATAAACAAATATGTATGTATTCTTTCTTGTTTTTTCTTCTGGTACTAGGAATCGAACTCATGACCTTGTGCTTGCCAGGCAGGCGCTTTGCCGCTGAGCTAAATCCCTAGCCACCATGTATGTATTCTTGAAGCTCTTAAAATTTATAGTAGCTCTTCCATACCTACATCTTTCTTTTTTCTTCCATAGCTACACTGAATAGTGGAGTCTTCTTTTTTTTGTTGTTGTTGTGGTCTTTTTGAGACAGGGTCTTGCTATGCAGTTCAGGCTGGCCTTGAGCTCACTTTGTAGCCCAGGCTGGCCTCGAATATTGGTTAAATTATGACAGCTGGCCTTGAACTCACAACAATCCTCCTGCCTCAGCCTCTGGGTGCTTGGGTTCCAGGCTTGTGCCACCATGCCCAGCGTAGAGTCTTGTACTAAAAGGTTTTGATAAGCTTCAGGTTAAACATTTTTGGCAAGAAGACTTAAAGTAATGTTATATATTTCATATTGAATCATATTAGTACATATGCCCAATGTTTTTGGTGGTAGGTCATTTGTTTAATCAGTAAAGATGACTAACAGTGTGGTGGCACACACCTGTGATCCCAACACTCAGGAGGCTGCGGCAGGAGGATTGTTGGGAGTTCTAGACCAGCCTGGGCTACAAAGTGAGCTCAAGGCCAGCCTCAACTGCATAGCAAAACTCTGTCTCAAAAAGACCAAAGGAAAAAAAGAAGATGACTAACTTACTTACTTCTTGCTCAAGTTATGTTTTATTCGCTTTGTAAATTGTGGGTTAATACTTGGACATTATTGAAATATCTTGTTTCCCCACAACTTTTTATCTGTTAATTTAGTGTCCACTGATGATCTTTGCCTGAGTTATTTTATTGAGGGCTTCTAGAAAAGTGATTTTCCTATTTGTCAGCCTTACATTTATTGCACTAGAATTCTTCTGTAAGAAAGAGCTGTCCAGTATAAAGATTTGGAATAATAGTCATTTCCAGGGCTGACAAATGCCTGTCATGCCTGGCTTCAACACACAGTTCAGCCTGTGGTAGTGAATTCTTGAATTTAAAAAATTTTTTTTTAGTGGGCTAGGCATGGTGGTGCACACCTTGGGAGACTGATGCAGGAGGACTGCAAGTTCAAGACTTGCCTGGGCTACCCAGGTAGATTATCTTAAAACGAAAATGTAGTGGGTTACAATCAATTGTCATTATTTTGTTAAAGAGTTTTTTATGTTTGGGAGTGAACTCATTGTTCTTGCAATATTTAAAATTTTTGTTAAGGTAAAACAGATAACACTTCTTTAAGAAATATTTTTTTTTCTGTGGTGACA